CACCAGGGAAGTCTATAAACAAAAATTGTGTGCTAAATGCTTACCTGTTCAGGACTCTTGTGAAAACATTCCAGGTGCAGGGAAGCCACTGACTGACCCTTCCTGGAGTTGGGCAGCTGGACTGGGAGGTGGGTCTCACATTGGGCAGAGGGAGAGGGAAGGTCCGGGGTGACTCCACATATTGGGGGATGATGGACCACTAGACAAACTGGGGCACTTAAGAGAAGAAGCAGGCTTGCCACAAAGGACAACGCCCTTCCTGGTAAAGCAGGCAAGAACCTTCCCCCTTTTTACATAATCTCATTCTACAAAGGTAATGTTTTTATTATAAGAAATTTAGAAAATAATAAAAGTTTACAAGTTCACTACTCAAATAAAGTAGTTTTGCACTTTATTATTATCTTAGTATTTTTATGTACATATATATTTTTAAACAACAAATGTTCTATATTAGTTTTACAATTGTTTTTGTTAAGCAATATGTTGTGATAACCTTTTTTCTGATTATGAAATTAATCTATATGTCAGAAAACTTGTGAAAATAAAAATTGTGAGTAATTACACTGCCCAAAGACCAAAAAAAATACATAATCCATGAGGATGTAGATGTGCCGGGTGTCAGAAGGAGTTAGAGCTAGGAAATTGTGACACAAGAGCTCCCGAACCCAGGGCCTCCCCAGTCATCCCCAAAGACAGAATGTGCCAGAGGATAATAATAGACAAAGCAAAAATAATAGTTACAAGAATCATAATAACCATTATTTATTGAGCACCTACTAAGTGCTAAGAACTTGCTTGGTGTTTTGCTCCATTTACTATTAGTAGCAGACCCACAAGGTGGGTATCATCACTCTCATTTACAAAGAAGAAATTGCATCTCCAAGCAGATGGACCATGAACCCAAGCCCTACTGCGGACCCAGTGAGCACCCATGCAGGATCCCATGGAAGACTCTAACTCCAGCTACTGGCCGAGGGAACACCAGCCACCATGGTCTGAACGGCCCCTCTGCTGTCCCCTCCTAAATTGGCTCCTAGCTTCTTCAGTGGCTCCATCTGTAAGAACAAGGAAAAGCAGGATCATGAGCAACAGCGAGAACGTCCCAACCTGGGAAACAAGGCAATCAGCCCATTGGGTCCAGACTATAGGTCCACATCCACCCCAGTGGGTCACCCACAATGTGGGTGAGTCACCCACAATGTGGGTGAGTCACCCACAAAGGGGGCAAGAAAGAGGCAGCCAGAAAGTCAGAAGGGGCATCTCTCCCCCTGGAGATAGCCTGGCAACTCTGATTCTGGTTCAGCTTATTCAGATCCTTTTCTTTAAAAAAATTTTTATTTATTTGACTGTGTCTGGTCTTAGTCGCGGCATGTGGGATCTAGTTACCCAACCAGGGATTGAACCTCAGCCCCCTGCATTGAGAGTTCAGAGTCTTAGCCAGTAGACCACCAGGGAAGTCCCCAGACCCTCTTCTTACTTTATTGGGGAATTATATATCCTTGCCAGGACCCTGACCCATTACTGAGTGGGGTACAGAGGAGTTGAAGAAATAGGAACCAGACAGGAGCCTCAATATCCCCCACTTTCTGCTCTTTCTCCTGTTAACTTGATGGGTACAATAGCCAAGCCCCAACCAAATGTGGACATCTCCCCCAACTCCACACCCAGTAAGGAATCTTCCAGTGTGTGTGTGTGTGTGCGCGCGTGCGCGTGTGTATTACCGCTAACATTTCCTGAGCTCCTCTGGCTCCAGCTCAGAGAGACAAGTGCCAGATATGCTGAAAACAGAGCTGAAATCCAGGTAACAATCTAGGCAGCTGACTCCACAATCCCTGAGGGCCAGGCTGAGAGGCTGGATTCCCATGGGGTCTGGGAGACAGGCTAGACCAGCCCTGGGGGGCTGCTCCAGCCCACACCAGGTAGGGTCCTGCCAACAGCCAGTAGCTTCTCCCTGAAGCAATGCAGTTCCCCCTTCCCACACTCCCATCTCAGAGAGTCCTGTAGGTTTTCTGAGGATATAAGGACCACCTTCCCTCTCCCCCTTCACTTCCTGTTTTAGGGAAATAGAGGAGCTGCTGCTACTTTTATTCAAAAAGTGAGGTCGCAGTGGCTTGTGCTTACCCCAAACTCCTGTCAGGAGTCTTAGAACTTTAACTTCACACAGATCTCAGTTTTCCCATCTAAGAAGTGGGCCTAATAGACTAAATAGGATAATACATGTACAAAGCTGATCACAGAGCCTGGTCAACAACTGTTGGCAGTCAACAGCAGCTGGCGCCTTTCCCTCCCTCCCCCACGCCCTGCTCTCAGCACTGCTTTCACTCTCAAGACTAAGAGTGGAACAGGGCCAACCAGATCCCTGTGGCTGCTGCTCGACTGAAGTCCTAAGTCAGGTCTGGGCATGGAGTTCTAGAATTAACATTAAAAAAAAAAAAAAAAAAAACAGGATGTTCTGTGCCTGCAATGCAGGAGACTCTGGTTTGAAAGGATCCCCTGGAGGAGGGTGTGGCAACCCACTCCAGTATTCTTGCCTGGAGAATACCATGGATAGAGGAGCCTTGCGGGCTACAGTCCATAGGGTCCCAGAGAGTCGGGCATGACTGAGCAACTAACACTTTCACATGCACCCTCAGGGCAACTGGGTACCAGCCTGTAACATGCAACAGGGTGCTGCGCTTGGAAAAAGGAGCTGACAGTCCCAAAGAGCTCCAAGGAGTAGATGATGAACCCATAATGGAAGCAACAGGGAGAGAGTCATTGACTTGGGAAGGAAGAGCTCTTCAGAGGGGAGTCCAGAGATGCTGAGGGCTGGCTTCCGTGGTGATGGTATATCTTAGGCACTGGAGGTATTCAGGCAGAGGAGGGTGAGATCAAGAGAACTGGGGGGTGAAAGAGGGGATGGAATAAGGTTAGTCTGGAATTTCTGGGTCTGTCAAAATAAGAGGCACAATTTGAGAACTCTTCACTGCAAACCTCTCTTCTGCCCAGAACTAATGTCTGAAATTCCTTCACTGCAGATCCATTGCTTTGGGTTAAGATGTCCCTTGCAAAATGCCAGACTCCCTAGTTGGTATCACATGCTGATTAATCAAAGCCCTTATGAAGGTTCTGAAGGCAGAAGGTAGGAACATGAGGATGATGGACATTGGCATTACATCAACACATTTGGGGGAGTCAAAAAGTCCTACTGTGTTTTTAAAGAAAGCCAAGTATAAGCTCAGTACTGGAATGATAAATACATTGGATGCTTGGATTTTTTATTTTAATCATTTTTATTGATGTATTCTTATTTAGTTAAAAATAAGACACGTTAAATATGTCTTCTTACTGTTCTATAAATACATGTATCTGATTTTATATATACAAAGTGATAAATATGATGATAAAATACCAAGGCAGTTATAAAAATGACAGCCCAACCTCAAGCATAGTATCTACCAGTCCAATCTAGAAAAAAATCCCAACACAATACATAAAAGTGCCACATATGAAAACAGGCAGCTTGTGTATCTATTCCAATACTGGGCTTATACTTGATAGGCTTTAAATACACAGTAGGTTTTTTAATTCGCTAAAAAGAGTTGTGTGTGTGTGTGTGTGTGTGTGTGTGTGTGTTCTTAGTCATGTCTGACTCTTTGTGACCCCATGGACTGTAACCCACCAGGCTCTTCTTTTCCGTGGAATTTTCCAGGCAACAATACTAAAGTGGGTTGTCATTTCCTACTCTGGGGGATCTTTCTGACCCAGGGATTGAACCCACATCTCTTGCATTGGCAGGTGAATTCTTTACCACTGCACCACCTGAGAAGCCCTTGACAAGATGCAAAGCAGTGCAAGTTGTACCATCATTGAAGAGGTTCCTGCCCTGCCATGGGAGAATTCCCCATTTTACAGGAACATAGTGTATGTTACAGGGGCAGAGGGAGGGGCCCTTTGGGAAGCATGTAAAATACACACTCTGGTCGCAAACAGATACTTGTCCACAAGTTCATAGCAGTATTATTCACAATAACAAAAAGGTGCAAATAACCCAAGTGTCCATCAGTGGATGAAGGTATCAACAGAATGTGATACTTGCATACAATGAATACAACGCACAGGAGGAATGTTGGAATTCAGCCTTAACAACGAATGAAATTCTGATACATGTTACAACATGGATGACCTTGAAAACATGTGAAATAAGCCCATCACAAAAGGCCAAACACCATGTGATTCCACTTTGCAGAGGTGCCTATAGTATTCAAATTCACAGAGCTACAAAGTGAATCATGGTTGCCAAGGAATGGGCAAAGAGAGGAATGGGGAGTCAGTGCTTCATGGATATAGGGGTTCAGTTGAGGGTGATGACAAAGCTCTGGAGATGGATGGTGGTGATGACTGCACAGCATTGTGAATGTACTCAGTGTCGCTGAACTGTGCACTGAAAAATGATTCAAATGGAGAAGCTTATGTTACATATATTTTACCACAATAAAAAATACACACTCTGAAGCTTGGGGTTCAGACAGGCTCAGTGAGAAAGGCTATGGACTCCGGGCTACTGCCCCCGCAGTGGCTGGGCTGGTGGTTGGGACCCAGATTTTAAGTTGATGGGGAAAGAGTAGAGGGGCTTAGCAGAACCTAGTGAGGGGTTCTAGGACAAGCACTTGTGGATGAGGGTTCAGAGTGCCAGGGGCTATGAGGAAACTCACAGAAGCCCCACTCAGTACGTGCACAGGCGCCTGGGATGATATGAATCTGGCTGGAGTGATGGCTGAATGGAAAAGAAAGTTGATAGGTGTCTGAGGGGACAGCAGGGGCCACTGGAGGAGTGGTGGGAGGTTTACTGAGGACAACAATCCTGAAAGTCTCCCCTCATTAGGAAGAGTGATATCCTGTGGCCAGTGGGTGCTCCAGAATTCCGTGGAGGGAGGAGCTTGGAGCAAGCACTCTCTCTGTCCCTTGAGCAAAGGATTATTTAGTGTCACTGCCCTGGATAGAGCTGCAGGCTTTGAACCATGACCCACGGGAAAAACAGCACAGTTTCTGCTTCAGCCAGTACAAAAATAATAGAACTGTCTAGAAAAACTGGAGATGGAGTGGGCTACCGTCAGAGGTGGTGAGTTCCCCATCACCTCTCCTAAGATAAGCTGTCCTCTGCAGATTCACAGCAGAGGACCCTGAGCTCCTTGGTTAGGAGAGGGGGCAGGAGATCTGCAAAAGAGGAGGTATTGTCTGAGAGAGTGGCTGCGGCTTTTTCAAGAGGAAGCCACTAATCCTCACAGGGAGCCTTTCTGGCCCAGGGCACTAGATAATCCCAAACTGCCATTCTGGGGTTTCTTTCATCCTAGTGCCTGGCGCGAGGGGCAGGGCGGCATAGCCATTCCCGACACTTCCTGGCAACAGTGCCGGGTGGGGGCAGACAGTCTGGCTCCCCATGCCTTTGCCCTAAATGCTGGGCTGGGAGGAGACTGGCAGCAGGATGGCAAAGAGAGAGAAAGAGGAAATGTCACCCTCACTCTCCCAAAGGATTGCTTCAGAAGCTAGGAGTTGGTGGCCCTGGGCTGGCCTGTGGAGAAAGGGGAAGGACTGGGCTCCTGGGAGTGGGAAGGTACAGGGGTGCAGCCCATTTCATAGGCAGGTAGGTCCTGGGTGGAATGAAGTGACAGTTTTTGCTTCCAGCGGCTTCCAACCTCTGGAAAGAGAGATGGACTCTACAGAGAGAGCTGCCTTGTTAGGAGTTTCTGGAGAGGTCAACACTTGCCCAAAGACTTAGGTGATGCTCCATGGTGGGATTTAAGGAGGGGATGGCAGGTTAGGCAAGGGAATCTTTGGAGGCAGAGGGAATTTTCTAGCACTTTTCCAACTCATTCCTCTGCCTGTCCTAACTGAGAGTCCATCTGGCCTTCAGAACAAACCTTGAACTGCCAGTCAGCACTTCCCAGGCTGACTTAAGGGTCCCTAATGGAAACCTGCATCAAAATCACCTCCAAGATGTATATAATACTAACACTTATCTGTCAAAATTCCTTGTCTTTGAGGCTCATCTCTATTAAAAATATAGGTTCCCATAGCAAAGGGCTTTCCACGTGGCATTAGTGGTAAAGGATCAGCCTGCCAATGCAGGACACACAAGAGATGTGAGTTCAATCCTTGGGTCGGGAAGATCCCGAGTAGGAAATGGTACCCCACTCCAGTATTTTTTCCTGGAAAAATTCCATGGACAGAGGAGTCTGGCAGGCTACGGTGCATGGGGTCACAGGGTCGGACACAACTGAGTGACTGAGCACGGCACAGCACGTGGAGACCCTGGAACCAGAACCACCGTCGCTGTGGAATGCTTGCTCTGCAGGGGGCACCAAGGGGGCCTGTGTGCGCCCAGGTTCACAGGCATCCCATGGAGCCATTTACTGCTCCGTGCTAGCTCCCGAGGACAGGAACATAGGAGAGTCAGAGCACACAGCCAGCAGACTGATGACTTCTCCAATTCTTTGGGTCCTGGTCACCCCATGAGCCACCACTCCAGAGCCCAGCATACAACCACACATCAGCCAGGCTCCAGGGACAGCCTCAGTGGGGGATTAGTGACTCTCCAGAGATCCCCCCTCTCCTTCCTCACCCAGAACCTTCGCCCTGCATTCTTGCACCAACTCCTCCAAGCCTGTACTGGCCTGGGCATCTGGGGTTGGGTCACTTTGCAAGCGGATGAGTGTTCAGAAAACCCCGCAGGAGCTGTTTTCTCCCAGAGACAGGCAGACATCTGGGGGTGGACAGGTGTGGCTCATTCATGCTTCTGTGGCCTTGTTTGCTTCCAGCAGCTTCCAACCTTTGGAAAGAGGAATGGACTGACCTCCAGGTCAGAGGTGAAGGTCAAAGGGAGTTCATTTTGAGAGCCCCAGCGCAATAAGGATTGTGTCCTGACTGCATATTCCCTGCAGTGGGGAATGACGGGGAGTTGGAGTGGATCAAAGTGCTCCTATTCCTAAACCTTGGGCCCTTTTCTCAGGGCTGATTAGATCTACTAAGAGCTTAAACATTGTCACAGATGCTAGACTCTGTGACCCTGGTGCCTATAGAAAAAATGGTCTGAGGATATTAGTGATGGATGCCGCCTGCTAAGGTGGCAGCCATATAACTTGATTCTCAAGATGCCTGCAACCCTGAGTAACCTTCTGATCTCTGAATAACTCAGATCTTAACTCATGCTATATTCCAACTCAGGCTCACATAGGTTGTCGGCAGCCAATGCACTGACTGATTCCCTCTGCCTTCTTTTATGAGTTCTTCTTAAGCATTCTGCCTGGTGCCTTAATGGTGCATGCTGGGTGGACCCCTCGTAGACCAAGGCCCACCATGACCCTGTTATGGGCTTGCTTCGCACATCTTCCAAAGGGCACTCTTTTCTTGCCCCCTTACCAGCCCCATCTCCTATGATCAGGGGAGGGTAAGAGGCTAGGTCTTTTCAACATTTTAACATTAATCATAGGTCTTAAGAGACGGTGAGGATAAAGAGCACTCTTTCCTGATAGAAGTAAACACAGTGTATTTTAAAATTTACAAATAGGTCCTCATGTTTACACTGCTTGGGCAGCCTTTCCAAATTCCTGCAGGGCTGGGCATTTGTCACTGCCCCACCAGGCTCACCCAGGCACAAATGCCTGCGAAGGATTTTCTTCTCCAGGATGTCAGCAATGGCCTTCACCACTGGCTATCGGATCTCAGAGGTGACTGTTGGTGATGTCATTTAGCACTTGCACATTTGGTTCAAATGCTCCTAGCTATTTTTCCTCCTCTGTCCCCTGCCCTGACCAAGGAAGAGGACCCATTTTTGAAGACTTTGAAAACCACTTTTCCTCCATCTGGCTGGGGATGTGAGTGGTCTTGTCTGCCAGCAGAGGGATGGATGAAATCAGTGGGTCTTTGGCTCTCATAGCTCGTGATCTCTCATGATAGCCATGGGCCTTCATCTTCAGCTGCTGCTGCCACAATGGAAGACCCTTCTCCCAAGTTACCACCAGCCTGACCACCAGCATGGGAGCCAGGGGGAATTAAACCCCAAGACAAAAGTATATACCGAAAGCCCTAAGGTATGCGTCCAGTCCACAGTGCCCTTCTCAGCAGAGTGAGTCCTGGGGGCTTCAGGCTCTGACCCCACCTCTTGCCACATGCCCTTCACCACCCCACCATCCCTACATCTGTGTGTAAGTAATTCTTCATCACCCAGTCATGTCTGACTCTCTGAAATCCCATGGACTATAGACTGCCAGGCTCCTCTGTCTGTGGATTCTCCAGGCAAGAATACTGGAGGGATAAACATTCCCTTCTCCAGGGGATCTTCCCAACCCAGCGATCGAACCTGGGTCTCCCACATGGTGGACAGCAGACCCTTTACCATCTGACCCCACAGGGAAGCCCTGTAGATGAGTCCAATTAAACAGAACGGCCTCAAAGAGAAGAAACTGCAAAATGATAAGTCTGAGGGAAGCTGGGAGGAAGCAGTCTCTCATTCTGCTTTAGGGCTAGGGACAAAAAGAATGGGGGATTCCGTATTCCCTGAATCCTGTGACTCTCTCGGGGCCCCTGCTAGTGGGTCTACTCCATGCGCCTTGTCTTGAGGGGATCATTAAATCACCTGAGATGTCCAATCTCAGGGACCATGACAGCTATCCCTGGTCTCCACACCCTAGAAACCTCTCAAATCCTTTGAGACAACAGGACATCAATATTTCTCAAGATACTTTCCTGCCAGTAAGTTCTGTTTTATTCCAGGGGAAATGGGAGTATACTAAAAAGGCTTTATTTGTGTCCACCTGTTTATGCTGTGCATTCCTTTTTCAGGTCTAACCACCCATCCGTGGGTCTGGCTGCAGGAGGGCATTCAGCAGGCACCAAGCCAGGCCAACTCAAGGGACGGAAATATCATCCCCTGATACCACAGGGGAGCAGGAGACACTGGACCCTGCTTTTCTCTCTGAATGGATGGGTGAGGCACATTGTAACAAGAGGAGGGCACACTCTCAGATTCTTCGTTCTCCCAACAAACCTAACATCAAGCTCCTTAAACTTTGCCCACAAGCTATGAACAGAGGACCAAGGGGAAAGGGAGGTGAAGGAGAAACTGAGGCAGGGGCAGAAGCCTGACTGGTGGGTATCACTGCTTCCGAGGCAGCTGGGGAGGAGGTATTCCATTTCCTGAGCTGTGCTTGTCCCATTTCAGCTTGAGCAGATGGAAATATAGTTCAATGTTTCAACATCATTTGCCTTTCTCGTGCTAAAATATTGATAAGTGCTGCCCAGGCAGATGCCCCTGCGGTTCCGAGCAGTAACTGGAGCATGATGTGTACTGAAGTGAGACACGGCAAAGCCTTTAACGAGTGTTTAAAATTCCTGGAATAATGCTCAAAGCTGGCTTAGCTCACTCGGCTCCTGAAAACCTCCCCCCCCTGGGCCGCCTCCTAAGCGGCAGGAGGGGTGTGAGCTCGGCCGGGACCCCCTGCTGGTGGCGATTAGTGCGGCAGCTGCTCGTCTCCAGGATGGGAAACAAAGCAGGAGGTGCCTGCATCTGCTGCTGAGCCGGCGGGGAGGGCCAGGGGTGAGGGTTCTCCCGCCTGCAGGGGTCTGGCATGGGGAACTCCAGAAAGAGGGGGCCCTGGACAGGGCTCTCAAGAAAGACAGGTGAGGGGAGGGCCAGAAAAGAGGAAGAGAGAGAGGAAGAGGGTGGGGACATGGGAAAAGAAGAGGAAGAAGGGCTGGGAAGAAGGGTTTTGCCAGGATCAGCGAATCTCCAGGCCCTGAAAGGAGAATCCAACACTGCCTCTAAGAGAGGAAATGAGAAACCCTGATGAGTGGCACCCCTGTCCTAAGACACTCATCTTCAGATTTCATTCATGACAAAGGGCCCCCAGATTGAGGGTGTAAAAGAAACCCACAGGAGCACCTGGGATGTCACCCCAAGACTCAGAACAGTGCTGGTGGCTGAGGTTCATATCTCCGTGGATCTCTGTCCCCACGTGGAGGTCGGATGGTCTAATTGTAGAGATCCCTGCCATGTTAAGGTCCTCTATATTTTAAGTTTTAGGGTTTCAGAGTCTTGATTTAAATTAAAAAAACAAAGAATCT